GGCAGGGCAGGGCAGGGCAGGGCAGGGAAGGGCAGGGAAGGGAAGGGAAATTTACATTAGAAATGTTAATATTTCAGTGAGAAACATAAAGTCCAGGATATAATTTGTCAATAATACTAAAATTGTCTAAATTATGAGGGAAGAAAACAGATTTAGAGGCAAATACATATACATTATACTTGTTCCTAATTGTAAACTAATACTTTGTTATAGTACAGGTTATTTACCAAGTTCTTCAAATTGCTTTTTGTTCCTTACTTTTTTTAATGGACTGAACTGTGATCAGTTTTTTCTGGACTCATAAAAACTATTTTACCATACAGAGAATATGAAACTGCCATTTTAATTCACCAAGTTAAATGTTATGAAGTAAAACTATTCTTTCAGTTTTCTCTGGTAAACATAAATTACTGATAATAAAATGTGCTAGGTAGATTTCTAAGTAACAAATGTCTATAAGAAGCATTTCTACACATTCCTACTTTTTATGATGCTTGAGTTAATTTATCATATTAATATTTTCAAGTGCTGGTTGCTTGCAAGGCTGATTTTTGGATGTAAAAATAAACTTGACTGAGTTCAAGCACTTAAGTCATTCAGTTGCAATTACAATCAAACAGACATTTGTATATTCAATTTTGGGTGAAACACAGCAGCATTTCTCAATGGACTCAAAATCAGATGACATATAAAATTAAGAGTATATCAAACTGGGATTTTTTACTATTTATTATTAGTATTCACTGAATTATTCTCCTGCTATAGATAAAATAGTAAAATCACCATTAGAATTTTTTTAATCTAAATATTCAAAATGAATGCACACATAAAACACAGCCTCCACAAATTAATGCATGTGAATCATGTAGATGTAGAAAAATATTGTATATTAATCTTACAGTGTTCAGTATCTCATTTTATGATTCAAGGCTCTAAGGAATAGATTTATCATGAATGCTATGTGAACTTGGAACAATAGATCCTAACTTGGAAACAAAACAAAGCTTTTTTTCCACAAGAAACTCTAAGTTGCATGGTATGGTATGTAACATGATAAGAAATTTTACAGACTGTTACATGCTAAGAAATTTTACATAGTGTAACACACAGAAAGACCTTGCAGTTGCCTGACTCCCCGAGTCTGATGTTTTTATTTGTTAAAGGAAACACATTTTTTTTTAAAAAAAAAAAAAAAATTATTATCAAAATGCTTTTTTACTTCACAGCAGAGGATTGCTCTTTTGTTAGAATAAATCTTAGAGAACCATTATTAAAGCATCATGAATAGGCTACCTTGTCTTTATGGTGTAGAATTTTGTTCAAAACATGTACAGAGAACTAACCTAAACTTTAGGATTAAATAAGATGTTTTCAAAAGAAGCAGAAACTATATTTTCACATAACTTATAGTAAATGTGCCAAAGAGGACAAAATCTAGTCTAACTAAGTAAGAGTCACAGTAACATCCCTGAAAACATGGAAAATAGAAATTCATAAGCAATATAGACTTAATCTCATGTTCAGTTAATTAACCACTGTAAATCAGTCAAGAAATGTGTCCTTTTCTAATGCACTTATCTGATTTTGGAATTAACTCACAAAATGTCTCTTTACCTTATGAAATGGGGAATTTACTAGGCCATGGATCTGACATGGTAAGTCTAAGAAGAGTTCAACTATGACTAAGGGTTAAGAACAGAGAACCACGTGCCAGTTTTTGGATTATTGTATTTGAACACAAATTGTATCTTCATTAATATAGAATTTTGAAATTATTTCAGTGTAATAGATCTTTTGCTGAAACACTTAGGTTATTTCATTTTTGTCACAATATTCATTTGACAAAAAACAATTTTTGATGAAAACCTTCCACATTGCTGTGATATTTATCTAACTCTGGGAAGCCTCTAGCCAATGGAAGTATTCCACTGCATTGAAATTTTATCAATGAATAAAAAAAAAAAATTAATTTTTATGATAGATTTTCTGTCATGGATCTAGGATTTTGCATATGGAGCTTGTTACTTAAGAACCTACTTACCACTTTTCCTTATGGCACAATTTCATTGTTACATGCTGGCTATACCTTTTATTTACATGTCAGCTACTGACGGGATAGGATGTTCATTATGCTTTGGTCAGATTCTCTGATCACTAACAAATTAAAAAAAAAAAAAAGTAGTCCTTGGAAGCAAGTGAAAAGGAAGATAATTTCAAATGGTGGTGATGAGGAAAAGGAAGGGAAAAAGGGAGGAAGTTTCTGCTGACTTACTGTCACTGCCATAGTACACAGTTTCACTAGAGAAAAAAAAATATGAAAATGATTACTCAGTTTGAATCAGATTATTCAAAGAAAACAGCTGCAATTATAAATTGCCATTTAGCCTCAAAATGAGATACTGAATTGCCTATGAAATTTACTGCTGGAGGGTCAGATATGAAGAAGCCTTTCCCCCTTTTTCTGCCACTTGAAATAACTAATCAAGATATGCTCATATCTTTAACCAGTTAAAAATACATAAAATGCATAATATTTTATGTACTGCTCTGCATAGAAAATGTAAGCAAGAAGGCTTTGATAGGAGTGGAAAAAGCTTAGCAGCTTCTGCACTCTTAGTATAACCACAGCCCCTGGTAGTCTTCAAACCTCTTTGGAAGTCTGAATAATTTAACTAGTATCACAGTGAGTTCATGCACTTGCAAAACACACTTCTAAAACTGGTGTGTTAACATTATTCACATAAGAAGCACATGCTGACTTTGGCCCTTAATGTCCCATGGCTATAATTTGGAAGAAGGACAAGACTACCCAGGTTTATCTCTGGTTGTTTAGCTCCCCATCATCAGGAGATAGCAACTATGAACCCAAAAGTTTTCTTCCCATCACTTCTTTCTCCCTCCCATCTGACATTAGAGAGAAATTATGTATCTGATTATAACAACTAAATTCATAATGGTTCTTATCACCTGAAGTGGAAGCATATAGCTTATATAGATCATTAGAAACTGTTAAGAAAAGACACTATTAATTCTTTAATACCATGTCATGCAGTGAAAGTGCTGTAAAATATAAATAACTAGATCTTTGCAAATTAAATCCTGTTCATACATTTTCAAATCTGCTGTACATGTTCTGCTGACATGTACTCATTT